ATATATATATATATATATGAAAGCTAAGTACACCTGGTTATTGCAAAGAAAATGTCAACACTACTTAGATTGAGTTTGATGGCACTCTAAGTCACTTTATTGTTATTGGTTCTCTAAATTTCAATTGTGATAAAAAATATTTATTTACTTTTATATATATATATATATATATATATATATATATAATATATATATATATATATAATATATATATATATATATATATATTCGTGTGAACCACGACCTTTTTCTTTATTATATTTCGTTGAACTTTTTAATTTAGTGTTTTTCAATTGAATACCTAAGCAATGGTTAAAAATGAAATGGTTCGATGGTGATTTTTGTATTCCTGGTTCGTTTTTGTAATTAGAATTAACAAGAATGCCAAATACAGATTTAAAATCTAATTAATACAAGTTAGGCAATATGTAGTGCGTACTTTTATATAAAGTGAGTTCGATCCCAAACACGATGTGATGTGGGGGTCAAAGCCCAAAGGGCCTCTATTACACAAACCAAACAACATAACTTAACTATTTTTAATTGGTCATTGTGCAGGGTCAAACATATTTGGTACTATTTTGTCTCGATAGCCTAGTTGTACAGGCAACATGGAGCTATGTTGGCTAGTTAGACAATTTTTCCATGAAGTTTAGAATGCATAAACAGTTACCCGAAAACCTTTTTTTCAGTATAGATTCCAGAGTTTTCATTTAACCTATAAGGATTTCGGATAGTTGATTATATTTAATCACACTTCACTTATTTGGAACACTCATATGCAATCTAACATTCAATATACTCATTAAAACCAACTTATTATTTTGTGCCTAAATCTTTAAAGGTTCCTCATGGATGTTTATACCCACGAATGTTAAAAGATCATTTTTGCATTGGTATGTTGATAAGGAATTCTACATTGAAGAACTAAAACGCTTTATATAACCGATAACGAGTATAAGTTGTATAAATTATAAACATAGTTTTGTAGTTCGAAATAAGCTCCTAAATAATGGCATCAAACATTGATGATGTTATTCTATCAAGTGATTTTGTTTTAGTGCAATATCAGAAGTTTGTGTGCATATTAGATCTTATGCAACTAATGTATAAGTAAGCATTCTCCTATATACAAATGACATGTTGAATTTTGGTACTAAGAAAAATCAAGTAGATGAAACTAGTAGGTTATTTTCATCTAAACTACTATGAAGGAGATTTGGGAGACTGGTGTAATTAATAGGATTAGGATAAAATGGGTAAATAAAAGTATTGTTAATACATAATCCCATTATAATAAGAAAAATCATAATACGTTTAATTATGATGATTGTTCTCTCATAAGCACTCTTATTGATTCAAGTGTGAAAATGATGCATAATATTGTGAATTCTATTTCAAACTTAGAATAATCTAATAAGATTGGTTGCTTGGTTTATTCCATGACAAGCACTAGAAATAATATTAAGATGCAAGTTTGATATCTAACATCAGATATCATTTTTCTATGAGTGGTTGGTTATTATTCCTCAGGGGATGTTCGTTTCTTAGACATCCAATAAAGATATATACATTGCAAAACTAATAATAGAGTTTAAGTTTGTTGCGTTAGCTTTTACTAGTAAAGGGAACATGTCTTGAAATTTAGTTTAAGAGATTTAACAGTAGTTAAATCAAGTTGCAACTATTTTTATCCACTGTGATAGTAAAACCATTTGGGGTAATGAATACAACAATGTTTGTAATGTCAAGTGTAGACCATTGGGTGTTAAACATATTATGGTTGGATAATTATTCATGAATGCATTGATCTATTTTGAGTTTGTTAGAACACATACAAATTTGGCAGGTCATTTGACTAATGGTCTAACAAAATACTTATGAAAAAAATCTACAATTAGTATTAGAGGATGAATATATATGACTACAACTCACACTTATGGAATGGAGCACATTTTTTATATTCCTAAGTATAAATTCAGTTGTACAATTGCTAAGCCTAAAGTTTATCTTCTTATACTTCCTTTGAAAAAGCGTATTGTATGTACATGATGTATAGGAATTACATATATGATTATGAAGTATATCCGAATTTTAAAAGTGTGAGGACTTCGAATTAAGATAAACATAATTGAATTAGCAAACACGAGTATTTAATCATGTAAATTTTTAATTTTTAGATTAGCTAGTACAAATATTTACATATGTATTTTATCTACAAGTATTTAAATGAGTCTTGAATATTTGTAACATGTGAAATACTATCATGAATACTCAAATTATCATATATTTTGGTTTAAAGGTTGCACTGAAATGGGACAAGTTGTTAAATATTATAGTAACATTGAGAATTTTGTGTAATTATAATGAAAAGGAGAGAAAATAGGGTTTTTTATTATTACGATTCAATATAAGTTGGGTGGTGTAGAGTGCATATTTTTATATGTAACTAGATGAATATCCGCGCGTTGTACGGAATAAAATTATATAACTAACATTTTAGTAATCATATATCATTGAAAATATTTATATTATTTTTATTAACTAAAGAATAATTATTATTATACTATACACTTAGTTAATGTGACATTATAATTCATTTGAACAATAGATAATATAACACTTAGTAAAATTAAATCATTTAATGGTATCTACTCACGGTTTAGGTGTGTATAAAATTAGTTATATTTCTCATCTATTTTAATTAACTAATGTTATGATTTATTAACTTTAAAGAAAATTTGATGACGTTCTAATTTCATAATGATGATTATTTAAATTACCAATGATTGTTTGTGATGTAGTATAATTTAATTTATAATTTTATGTTATTTTAACTATTATTATTATAAATCAATTTAAAAAAAAAACTTAACTGAAACTTAATTATTATAAAAAATAGTTTTCGAAGATCTTTTAGTTAATTTTACTTTTAGATTTGTGTTATTTTACAGTTATTGTATTCAATATTTTCTATTTAACTCTTGTAAAAAATAAATATTGAGGTTTTTTTTTTTTTTTTTTTAATTTATTTGATATTTTACTTTAGGTTTTAAATTTTACATTATACTTTTAAGTTTGTTTGATATATTAATTTGGGTTATGCATTTAACACTAAATTAAAGTTATTGATAATTCAAGATGTCTTCAATTTATGCTAATATTTATAACTAATAACATATTTAAGTTAGAAAATATATTATATGGAAATATGAAAAAGTTGGGAGTTTCAAACTGATGTGATGAAAGGTAAAATGCTTCCCTTATAAGTATGGTATGATAGTATGATACGATTTTGATCTAATACATAACGAAAGATGATGGTAAAAGGGTCGTACACAATTATATGTTAGGAGGCAACACGCATGTGTGGTGTCCAATAGGAATATCACTTGGGTTTAGTAGAAAAACATGCTTACATTGAAGAAAAGTAGAAGAAATAAATAAGTTTGGGACTACTTGGGGACAACTGAAACCACCTACCAACCATATTATCTGGCTTCCAACGCTACTGACAATTCTAACTGTGTATATGCGCATTTTTGCCAAAGTAACTCAATTTGCGTTAATAGTTTATGTATAAACCTTTTTCTAACTACAAATCCAATAATTTTATTGGATCTTATATCGGATATATAAGTACGTATACACATACACCACTTATTTTGAACATTAGTGTTGAGTCAAGAAGTATTGAGTCAGATAATGTGGTATTTTTGATAGAGAAAGTGATAGAGAAGGTTGATAGAGAAGCTTCTCTATAGAAGTTCATGTAGAAGACCAAACTTCTCTATATAAGGTCATGGATACTTCTCTCTATATCAAAGTTTATCTTACTTCGATATATCTATCTACATTAGTGTGAACATTGAGGTTTTACTTTATGCCTTATTCACACTATATATTTTGGATTCTGTGATAGCACTACTATATATAATCTTGTAGTCTTAAGTGTTAGAAATAAAGTTTTTACATAATTATATACTACTTTTTGATTTCATTATTTTTTGATTTATGTTTGATTATTATTAATTCTCTAATGGCATTTCCATGTGATCCCACATGTGGTATCCGAGCTTAATCTTG